CTATGTTTATTGCAGCACTATTTACAATAGCCAAGAAATGGAAGCAACCTAAGTGTCCATCAGTAGATGAATGGATAAATAACATGTGGTACATATACACAATGGAGTATTATTTGGCCATAAGAAGAAAACAAATCCTACCATTTGCAACATGGATGGAGGAGTGAAATAAGCCAGGTGGAGAAAGACAAGTACCAAATGATTTCACTCATATGTGGAGTATAAGAACAAAGAAAAACTGAAGGAACAAAACAGCAGCAGAATCACAGAACCCAAGAATGGACTAACAGTTACCAAAGGGAAAGGGACAGGGGAGGATGGGTGGAAAGGGAAAGATAAGGGCAGGGAAAAGAAAGGGGGCATTATGATTAGCATATATAATGTGGAGGAGTGCTTGGGAAGGGTGGTACAACACAGAGAAGATAGGTAGTGATTCCGTGGCATCTTGCTGCGTTGATGGTTGGTGGCTGTGGTGGGGTATGTGGGGGGGGGGCTTGGTGAAGGGGGAACTTAGTAAACATAATGTTCTTCATGTAATTGTAGATTAATGATAACAACAAAAAAAAGGCTATTGATTCTTTTTAAAATTTAGATCCAAGTGGGGTTTGTTCTGGTACAGAATGTGACAGGAACAAAATTTTTCAAACAGTATCTGCCACAGTACAATTTATTGACCAATCCATACTTTCCCCATTGATTTTCCAACATGTGTGTCATATATTAAATTCTTATATATAATTAGACCTATTTCTCATTCCTTCTTCTATTTCATTGATCAGTCTATTCTAGAAGCAAACTCACTCCATTTTTGTTGCAGCTATTTTTATTGAAGTATCATTGATATACAACATATTGGTTTCAAGTATATAACACAGTGGTTCAGCAGTTACCCATTTTATTAAATCCTTACCCTATTAGTGCAATAACTATCTGTCAACACATTTATTGATTGTAAAAGTTTTTTGTGCTGTCTATAGGGTCTTCTATATACAGTGTCATTATGTCATCTACAAACAGTGACAATCTTACTTTTCCTTACCAATTTGGATGCCTTTTATTTATTTTTCTGGTTTTCTAGGACTTCTAGGACTATGTTGAGTAGAAGTGGGGAGAGTGGGCATCCTTTGTCTTTTTCCTGATCTTAGAGAAAAAAACTATCAGCTTTTTTTGCCATTGAATATGATATTATCTGTGTTTCTTATATATGGCCTTTATTGTGTTGATAAATGTGCTCTCTTTGATCACTTTGTTGAGAGTTTTTAGCATGCATGGTAAAATTTGTCAAATGCTTTTTCAGCATCTATTGAGATGATCATATGGTTTTTATTCTTCTTTCCTTTTGTGAATGTGGCATATCACATTGATTTGCAGATATTGAACCATCCTTGCATCCCTGGGATAAGTCCTACTTGATTGTGGTGACTGATATTTCTGATGTATTTTTGAATCTGGTTTGCTAATATCTTGAGAGTTTTTGCATCAGTGTTCATTAGGGATATTATTGCTCTGTAGTTTTCTTTCTATACAGTATTTTTTTCTTGTTTTGTAATCAGGGTGATTCTGTCTTCATAGAATAAATTTGGGTGCTTTCCTTCCTCTTCAATTTTTTTGGAATAGTTTGAGTAGTACAGGTATTAACTCCTCTTTAAATGTTTGGTAGAATTCACCTGTGAAGCCATCTGGTTCTGGATTTTGTTTGTTGGGAGTTTTTTATTGCTAATTTGATTTCATTACTAGAAATCAGTCTGTTCAATATTTCTATTTCTTCCTGATTCAGTCTTGGAAGATTGTATGTTTCTAGGAATTTATTCATTTCATCTAGGTTGTCAGTGCTGAACTTTGCTACTGATCTCTTACCTAGTTGTAAAGACAGTCGTCAAATGAACAAAAGGTATGATAGACCAGGAAATGTGGTTTGTATTTTTGGTTAATGACTAGTTACTAGAAAAATTGAGGAAAATGTTGCAATCTTGACAAAGCTACATCTTTCTCAATGTAATTTTTCTTAAAAAAATTAAGTTTTGTTTATTGTGATAAAGACTAGGAATAGTAAAACAATAATTTGCAGTTGACTCTATCTATTTTTAATATGACTCACATATTATGTATTACTAAAATTTCTCCAGAGCTGTAGCAGACAGAAAAATCCATTTTGAGTTAGAAATGGGGAGAAAAATCTTAAGTATAAAAGTCTGCAATCTAATTATCTTTCAGTAAGATTTAAATACATAATTTACCTCATGCAATACTTGGAAAAGATGTTGATTATTGTAAACATTTACTATTACAAAACATAAGCCATATGCTAATGAATGGATGTCAAGAACTGTGAGGGGTCTGAGATTGATTTTTATCCCACTTGCAAGCTAACAAGTTACCTAGCTACAGTTTGAGCTTAGTAGAAGACCCGAGACTCTTGGGTCAGAGACAAAGGGCAGTTTATTGTAGCAATGGTAGCTACATCATCAGGTTATTTTGGTAGAAGGCACTGATTTCCTGAACACCATTCCTACAGGGTGATGTGAAGAGAGCCAGCTAACAGTGTAGACTCAGTGGGCTGTGTAAAGGATAGGAACTCTAAGCGTAAGGAACTAAATCTTTTTTTTTTTTTTTTT